AAAATATACGAGGGGGCAACTGCTATTGAGGTAGGCGGGGCAGCGGGTCAGCTGGGCAGCCAAAACGTTAACGTTCCAAGGAAGTGACTCTGTTCTTATGTTAATGATTGTTATTCTAAGCGTTAAATAAGCGTGGGTAAATAAAACCCATGAAAATGAGCAACAAAAACGTAACTAGAAATTCAAATTTGACACATGCAACAAAATTACAAATGCAAGGTTTTCCAAAAGTGTAACTAACAAAAAATGAAAGAAGTTGTAGAACGCACGCTAGATAATAAGAAAATAAACTAGCAGTTCCACAGAAAGGAACTTGACGGATATGCAATGAAGGGAATTAAGAGGAAGAAATAGAAATGGAAATCAAAGAGCAATAAGGCGAAGCTAAAGATCAGACGATGGTCAGCTCAAAAATTTATCATAGTTTTAACTAAGATTAAGATTTACTACATGTAAATAAATAAAAAAAAATATACGAAAATGTTGGACATTAAAAAAGTAGCCAACAAATTCCATTCAATAATTTAAAATCTTTCCCCAACTTTTCTTCTTTCCCTTAGATTTTAATATAAGAAACGAACATACATATAAATTTATTTGGCAAATATGCGAAGGATCTGGTATACATTGCGATTCTTAAGCATCTTCCACACAAAAAAACGCACAGATAAATTGCATTTAACACCATTCATATTCCAGCAAACGTTTCTTCCTCTTTTTCATACAATATAACCTTGAAGGCAGCGTTTATTCACTTTCGTTCTAGCAGCGGAATATTATTCAATCTTGAGTGTCTTCTAAGCAAAATCCGCCCACTTTAAGAGGCAATCGTTTGCCGCCTGGGCCCATAATTTGTGCAGTTAACGCAATCAAATATTATGATAATGTATTTCTTTAGCGTTGCGAAAATGTTTTTGTTATAGTTTAAATCCGAGCGGCGGGTGTTGTTCTTGTTCTTGTTACTTTTTTGTTAGGCTTAGGTTAGCCAGCGCAATTTTGTGCTTTCTCATTTATGCAAATTTCACTCAATATGCAAAACATAATCATTTTGTTATAAGAACCAAGAAGAACGCACCACCAAGCTGAAGTGGAAGTTGAAATCGGAGTTGGAGTTGGAGTTGAGGATGGACTCGGAGTCGGAGTTGGAGTCACGGGCGCAGTTTCAAACACGCCCCAGCCTGCAGTTGCCTGGGCAATAAAGCAGCCAACTAAATAACTCAAACTATCACGAGAGATGCGCACTAACACACACAAGGAGAGCAAGAGAGAGAGAGAGAGAGAGAGAGAGAGAGAGAGAGAGAGAGAGAGAGAGATTGAGAGATTGAGAGAGAAGGGGAGACAGAGACAAAGGCAGAGGCGGTGGCAGCCACAGGAGGCAGGAAGCATGCACAGGGCGGAGGACGATCAATCGTTTAAAAATTTAAATAATATATATGTTTGCCAGTCGGCGGGCAAAGCGAAAACTGTAACAGCCGATGTCGGAGTTGAAGTAGGTGGAGCAGCAGCAGCAGCAACGGCAGCAGGAGCAGCAGCAGCGGCAGCAGACGCCGCAACTTGCAGAGGGAGTCAAGAAACGAGAGTCGTGGCAAGTTCAGTGAGTTGAACGCATATCGGCGCATGCCTCGCGGCGATTTATACTTAAAACGGTGTAGATTTTTATGCTGTTGCCGGTGCTCAGTCAAAGGAGCTGCAGACAAAGCTGCACAGAGAATGCCCGGGAAAGGGGGCGAGAGAGGGGCAGAGAGAGCTGCGCACAACGGTCCCGGACAACCACAGACAGACAGACAGACAGACAGACAGACGGACAGACGGACAGCTAGGCTGTTTATTAAGCGATCTAGCGATTTTAGAGCAGGTTAAGGAACTTTTTTGGAGCATGCCACATGTGGTACGTGTCGCCGTGTCGCAGCCTTGACAGCAGCCCCTGACTGCCAGTTAAACAAGTTTCACATTGCAGCGACAACACCTTCCCAGTTCCAGTTCGGATTGCAGTTCCTAGCCTGTCCTGTACTGTCCACCGGCCAGCACTTTGCATGTGCCAAGTTTATTGGCAGCCCAAAAACAAATTAACACGACAAAATAAAAATCAAAAAAATTTAAATAAACTTGCGCTGCTCTGACACTTGGCATGGACAATGGGGGCGTTTAATTGATTCAAATCGAATTCTTTGGAAGTTGCGACGCGTTTATCTCTGGCAAAGCAAGCTGAAATATTGCTGTCAAAAGTTCTAGACTAAGCGATACGCTGTTCCGTCTTTCTTCTTGCTAACAGCGGCAGCATCGAACTGGCAAGCGGAAGATCGCCGGTTCAAATCAATGAATTGTTTATTAATCACAAAGCAAAAAGGGTTTTAGCATAAGCACGTGGTCGGAATTCGTATCTGTGATTGTTGTTGTTGTTTTTTATACACTTGAATGTCGAAAAATGTCCAAAATGTAAAAAAATTTGATATACCTCTTTTATATATATGCAAATATGCTTCAATCAATTAGCATTTCATAAGCTTCAGTCAAAGAAAATTAATCTAGCTCTCAAATTGTGTAAAATATATACATTTTATTGTTTTGTAAAGTAAGTTCACAAGCTACAATATCACCGTAAAGACTTACCTTCGCACAGACAGCCGAACACTCCACAAAACGTATACACTTCTGACAGCTTGGTATACAGTGTATAATTATAAGCTGTTTATGCCCCGCCCTGACCTGGCAGTAAGCCCAGACGCTAATGCAGAATCATTGAAGCAAATTAATGAAGCAGCCGCCGCACAAAAATTGTAAATTGAAATTTGAAATCGGGCCACAATCAGTCATAAGTCCCACAGGAATTGACACACACGCACACACACATTTGAGTTGAAATCCAAGACGCAATGAATCACCGCAAAGCGCTTCACAATGATTTCAATTCGAAATTCTCGATATTGTCGCAGCTAAGCTACGCGCTGCCCCTAACCCCCGCTGCTGACAAAGGTGTGACAGCTGCGCGCTCTTGTCTGCGACTGGAACCTGGGGGGCTTGGTCGCTTGTTGATGCCCCCGCGCCGCGCGGCACAGCCTGGCCTGTGCTCCCTGAGCCCCCGCTTGTAATGTAGCTCAATTAATTGTAACGTAATTTCCAGTAGCTGGCTTATGTCTTAGCTTTCCGACATGGCCAGCACTTAGATGCAACTGTCAGCGAGCTGTCAATGCACAGCCTCTTGATTTGCTTTGTTTACAGTGATTAAATTGACACAAGAGTTCAGTCTATTTCTATTTTTGTGGCTGTGCTATACAGAAGGCCAAACCACAACGGAAGTTTGCCACAGTAAATCCTCTGGAGCACAGACAAAAAAGCCGCAAATGTGGCCGCAGTTTGTCACCATTTCTCGCATTTTACTTAATGAAATTCAAAATTTTCGTGCCCATTTACTTTGATTGCGTTTTGCGTGAAAGACGGAAATGACAATAGCTGCCTGGTTGAAGGGGTTCACAAAGGTGTGCCCCGCACAAGAAAAAAAAAAAATCTGCCACCGTTACTGCGGTTGCTGCCTGCCAAAGCGGTTCCCTTGTTTTATCTGTGCAAATCTGGAAATGAGAGGCGACGCGTCGCCATCGCCGCCGACGCCTCTGCCTGTCATTTCGCTTGGCAACTGGAGCTGAAAAGTTGAGGCTGATGCCACAAGCAATTGCTTGTCAGAGTGTAAACATTGCTTTAATATGGATGTCGTCATGCGATGTGAACGCCACTCGATAGGTTTGATAGCCACTGGACGCCGTAATCGATAATGTCGATAGTTTTCAATCAACTCTTAAATAAAGCTTAATAATAAATGCTTTTTAAAAACACCTTCAGAGAATATCCTAATATTTTTAGGGACACACAATCGATAGTACTCATAATAATCGATAATAACGAAACACAGCTATGATTTCGATGCCGTAACAATAATTTTGCAACGCTCACAGCCCACTCGCATTACAAAAATGTTTGTAAAAGTATTTAAAAACGAAGAAAAAAAGCGAACACAATATTCAAATTAGGCATTCAGAGATAAGCACAAATGCCAACTTGTAAGCTTTTAGGCAAGTTTAAGTTAAGCAAAGGCAAACGACTTCATTAGACCAAAAAAATATATTCACAATTTCGCGCCTATTCATCATTGGCAACGAGGGTGTCGCTTCAAGGTTTGTCAAACATTTGCAAATGTCATAATTGCATACATTTTGATTACATTTTAGTCGCATATTGAATAATTGTGCAAAAAAAAAAGTGAATGTCATTTGTGAATCAAATGCCGCTGCATTATTTTTTTTTTTCGGCGACACCAAACACACACACACACTCACACTCAATATATATGCACATTCACATTCAAGTTGATCTGACGAAATCGACACAAATGACTCGTTGGCTGCCACCTGTTGCTGCGATTATGTCGAGACTTCTCGTATATCTCTAGTATCCGTTTGAGAATGTAACGTGTAGCAACATGTTAAAATTTGCACCACGCTGCGTATGATTAATGTGGCAGTTGCTAACTGCAGCGCCCCTTTTAAGCTGTCAATCACACTGCACTCTGAAATCTGTGCCAAATTCTGCATCGCTGTGATATATTATAGAATTTATTACATGCTAGATATGTCAAAACAAACAAATTTTGTAGCACAATGATTGAGTACTTTGAAGAGATTCTACTCCAAGATGCTGAGAAATGGGCGTGAATATTGGGTAAGTAGAAGGCAGCAGGCAATGGGAAGCGAGGAAGTCATATAGCTAATAAATATTGTAGAAATATCTAGACTTTCGATTTAGTCAAATTTGATTAAAAAAAGTATATAAGCTCAAAGAAAGTTTTCAATATGTAGATAGTTAAATAGGTATTTAAGATACAGAAAAACGTATGCCTACTTGGCATAAACAACTTCTAGCACAGACTCATCACAGCTCAACGACTTCAATTTACTTTTACTTTCATTTACACAGTCTTGCCAAGTTTGCCACAACACAATTTTAATTTCTAATCAATTCTACATTCACTTAACTGGCGCCTTTCATAAGCTGCCTAACTAAATTATAGAGCCCAGAGCAGAGAGACAGAGAGAGTGTGAGGAGAGACGAGAGTGAGCATTATCTATAATTACAAATTGCTAAATCTGTGGCCTAAGCATTCAAGTAGATTATATAAGCCGGCTAGTTAGTCGCTGTAAACGGAAGTACCAGAGGGTGGCCAGGTTGTGCCTAACATTGTTTTTGTCAGCTATTTAACATGATGGTACATGGCGGAGCGAGCAAGCGCTTGTGTAATCAGCGGATGCCAAAGCAGCCGCCCCGACTATGGATCTACTGAATTTCCGGGAAGAAATATGTACTCGCATTGGCTGGCATGCAAAACAAGCAAACTGACAGACAGCCAACGAGGCTGGCTGGCTGGCTATGAGGCAGGCGGCTGGCAGTCAGCGACATGCAAAGTCGACAACAAGAACAAATTGCTGCCGCTTGGGCAAAGACAACAACGAGGACGACGACGACGAAGACGACGACAGCAACGACAACTACAACTACAATAACTTGACCATGGCCAAGACGGCAGCTCAGTCATAACTCAGACTATTGGCTTGTTAAGCGATTTTCCAATATCCCAATGTGCACTCTCTCTCGCTCTCTCTCCTTTCGGTTCTCTCTAGAGTTCAGGTTCAGCTTTTTGTAATTACGTGTAGCTATATCTTGTCTAGGGCGCGCGTGCGTGCCCAGCCGTATGGATATTTATTTTTTGCGTACGAGTTTTTCGGCCTTTGGCGCTTTTCAACTATAAATATCCATACGTCCGTCTTGGCCATGGTTATCGGAACAGCAGCAGCAGCAACAGCAGCAGCTGTTGGCTCTGCCGCATATTAAGCTATTTTCCTTGCAGGCCCCATATATGTATGTGTGATGGGGCGCCTTATCAAACGCATGCAAAGACACGTGTATGCGAGTGCAGCATCACCAGCGCCATGTCCATGTCGATGTCCATGTCCGTGTCCGTGTCCATGACCGTGTGTCCTGCCGTTGGCAGCTCTCGCAAATGATTTATAGAAAGCTCTCATTATTTATAGCTGCCTCAGCTCAGCGCTGTCAAATAAGTTGAGGCAATTAATTAAGCGGCCGCTGCATCAGCTTCAATTCTAGTGCCGAAAGCAAATATTGATGCGCCGGTTATGGTATGCGGATAATAGCTGCTGCTGCTGCGGCAGCTGCCGATGCGAAGCAGCAGCTACTAAATGGGATACAATTACCAACATATTTATATTTAATGCAGCACTTGGCTAATCTCTGTTTAGTCTGTAATAATAAAGTCAGGACAAGGCAGACTGAGATGAGACTGGGCTGGGAACGCTAAGGGTGAGGCAGTCTAAAGAGATGCTTTTGGTCTCTTGATACATATGTTTGAGCTTAGGTTAAAACAGCCGGAATACGTCTGGCTACAGGCAAGAGAACGTTAAAGTGTCACAGCTGGGTAGGATTAGAGCTGAGCCTCCCTGGGCAGGCCCGTCAGCGATCAGAATCGAATCGCTTTATATAGACTCGTTCTATATGGACTCGTTCACGTTCCTAAGCCTCTTGATATTCGATTTATATATATGTCTGCAGCTCTCTAAAGTAGATTTAGCTACAAATTCAGCTAGAACTCATGCATATTTTCCCCACTTCTTACAGGTATTTAGCAGAAAGTGCAGCGCAGCCCAGCATTTACTGTAACACCAATGGCCACATTTATATGGCCAGCGCTGCCATAGAAAGTCAAGCTGACACTGTGGGAACACCCCTTAGTTGAGCTGGCGTGCAGCTAATTGGAGCAATGTGTTTGGCCTTTAAAAGGTGAGCTCATTAGCGTTAAACAAGCATTTTATTTAAGGGCCAGCAGCAGCTCATTTGAAACGCCTCATTTAAGTGAAATGGAAATGCCAATTTTCGGCCCAGCCATAAAAACACGTGCCAAAAAAAAAAAAAAAAGATTACGAATCGACAGGCGAAATCATAAGTTGAGCAAAACACGAATCCAAATTCAACCCATTCGCAATAAGCAAAAGCAGCTGCAGAAACAGAAACCTTTCTTTCGTCTGTGTCATTATCTTCGACGCGTGTTGGTGTTTTTTTTTTTTTTTAGTATTTATTTTTTTCATTTGCGACTGCGCTTCGAATCCCAACTCGAAGTTCGAGTTGGCAATAAAATTGCACTGGCTGCCAAATTAGAGGTTACCAATGGCAATACAAAAGTTGAGGGCGTGCTGAGCCAGCAAGACGGGCCCTAGAGTTTATGAGCAACTGCGAGGGCGGGTGTTAATTATAGGGCGTGGCCCAGTGGCCTGCACAAACTCAGCGGCAATTGGCAGTTTAATAAGCAGGTGAGCAGCACATTGAAAAGTAAAGCATAAGGCATTAATTGACAGATAAGATGCCACGCTAAAGGGTATGCATACTTTATAATAGTGTTGTTATTATGCTTTTGTCGAGGGTGTTTTCATTTTGCCATAAAATATGTAGAAGGAGACATCTTTGGTCCCATCCATTGATCAGCACCAATAGACGATTCAATATAGCCAGGTCCTTTGGTCTTTTTTAATGGAAGCAAATCTTAATGGCAGAACATATGTCAAATCGGCTTAATCGAACCAGGTTATTATATAGCTGCTATAGGAACAATCGGTCTATAATCAAGCTCTTTTAGAAAAAACTTTTTGTATATCTAAATATCTTAGCCCAAGTGGGATAGGTACTATAGATATAGATATAAATATAGATACTGTGATCCTAAAATACAAGATGAAACCTTCGAACTTCTATATCTTAAGATCTCTGGGAAAACTTGTTGGTTCCTCAAGATATTTTGAGCGAACAGATCTATGAATATCATTACAATTCTCCTAACGTATCTGCAGGCCGTATCAAATCTTACCTATACCCTTTAATACAAACGCTTTATTTTCTATAGTAAAGCATTTATACTATATATTATAAAGGTCTTCTAAGATTTAAGTCTAGGGAGGGTATTTAAGCTTTGACATGCCAAAGCTAGCCTTTCCTTCTTGTGAATATTATTATTGTTTTCTAAACTCAGAAACGTTACTTAACCATATTAGAGGCTAAGCTAGCTAGACAGCAAAATATCCCTACTCTGCTTCAAACCCAGAATCGCTTTATATAGTTGGCTCGCTAATTCGCCTGCTTTCAGCTTAAATTAAGAGCTATCAGACTTTGTCAATTCAGCTCGTGAAATTCAAACCCGAAAACATTGCGTGTAGCGCCTAGACGCCTATCACATAGCACTTAGGCCTATATATAATTTTGTTGTTGTTGTATTTTGCGCTCTTTCTAATTGAAATAAATCAGTTTCGTGCCTGAACTAACATTAACTGGGCCCATTTAGGCGACGCTAATGATACCAAAATAGAGGAGAGCGGAGAGCGGCGAAGAGCCATTAATAATTGAACGTGTCGGAGCGATTTGGTGAATTCACGACATTGCCGAAACGATGATTGGGCTATAATAATTGTTGAAATCGGCTATAGCTACAAATCGAATTTGTTATAATTGAGTTCTCGATCATAATCAATGGAAGTGGAGCACTGACGAGGCAAGAACCAGAACACGACTGTTATTATATAATTGAGACAACTGAAGAGAGAGACTGGGAGAGAGAGAGTTGATCTCGTTGCCGTTGTGATTTGTGGCACGTACTTTGGCAGCTGGCACCTGCTTTCAGCTGGCGTGGCCCGCTAACAAATTAATAAATGATTATTATATTACGCAGGCCGTTAAGTAATGCGATTATGACATAACGAGCGTGCACACACACAAACACACACACACACACACCGTCAATTGTTGTGTTAGGCAGCGCCGACTGAGTGAGAGAGTGCGGCAGACCTGACCTGGCAGCGATTCTTCGTCTCTGTGTGAATACGGATGCCAATGAGACGACGCCAGGCGGCAGCAGCAGCAACCGAAGCAGCTTCAGCCTCTTGCCTCAATAATTTATCCATTAAGATTGCACGCGCCTGATTGTGTGCTACGTGGCCCGTTTTGGGCTTTAGACGGTAGCCTAGCCAAACGGCGACCGCAACTCCGACTCCGACTCCGACTGCGGCACTAACGGATGGGCTATGGCTATATATAGGGGGCATGGCTGCGGGCGCTGCCCACAGTTGATTTAATGCGCCAAATTATAAAAATTGTTGTTGATTTAATTTTATGAGTGTAAAACGGCCGCCAACTCGCCAACTCTCTTTTATTCTGAGCCCAACTGTCTGACGATCAGTCAGAACGCAGCTACTCGTCTTTTTTTTTTTGCTGCCCCCGCCCCTCCCCAGTTAACAACGCCGGGCCGGGCTCTCCGCCAGCTTGTAACCATGTTTCGCAGTTTATCGCAATCTCAACCGCAACCGAAAACCACGGCTGCCAACGCCGGCGAACGTGACATGTGAATTAGGCAGCCAAACGACATGGACATGGACACGAACCAAGACTGAACCGTACCGCATGGTGGGCCATAGGAGCACAGGTGCTGTGCGCTGGCAGCCCAAGCAATAAGCAACAAGATGCCCAAGACTCCCAGCTCTAACTCCAATGTGGTTTTTCTTTACCTCTATTTTTTTTTGTTTATCGTGTTTTATTAATAAATTAATTGACGCAAATGTGGTGCTGGCATTAGACATGATCTTTAAACTGGTGTACGAAGTGGCTTCGACTGACTAGCTCTCATGAAGATAGCCTTCGCCTTGGGTTAGATCTATTTAATAGGTTGTTGGGCTAGGCTTTCATTTGAGTGTAGCAATTTATTTGATTTTGGGCAAAACAAAAGGGTATTTCTTTGGAATTTGACTACTGTTTGAAGCTACGAATTCTTTGAATTCGGTCTGGCACTATTTTGCATATATTTCATGTTATCATTAATATTCAGTTGTTTGAATAAAACGGAAGAGTAAAAGACTATTGTTAATCATTTGTATTAACTTTTTGCTATGCATTAAACAACAAACATATTTTAAACGGAGCTTCGAACCCGGAACTTCTCTGCGCAATCCCACATTAACCAAGATTCATATTATACACATCAATTGTGGTAATAGCTTAGAAGTATCGTTCCTCGCTGGGAGAGTTTTTTACTGAGCCAGTCAACGAAATCGGGGCATAAATCCCAGACCAATAGCTAATTGGCGCCCCTAAAAGGAATCTTTCAAGTGCATTATGAAGCACAAGTTAAGCTATAAAAAGAACACCCAACAGAGAGATTTTCACTTTATTTTATTTAATTGATATCATTTGCTTTTATATCAAAAGATTTGACTCTGAGTGCCTTAACGCCGCTCAATCAGCTTTAGTTTTGTACGCAGAGGCTGCTCGGGCCAGACAATTAAATAAAGTTTTCGCCCTTAAACAACGAGCAATGGCCATTGGTTTGGACAATGCCACCACCCGCTGCTGCAGTTGCTCCAGCAGCCAGCATGAAAGGCCGAAAGAAGTCAATAATCGAAATACTAAACCCGCTTTTAATGCAACAACAGGCAACGGGCAACCCGCAGGCCGCGACGTGCACAATTTGGCGCCCTACTTCGGAGCTCCTACGCAACGAGAATGCGTTCCCATGTTAAGTGTTAATAAATCGCCGTGCGCAAGCAGACCCAACATCAGATCACGGGCATTTTGTTTCAAACTGTTTTTATATTATTTTGTACAACTTCGTTTTTTTCGGGCCAAGACGATTTTTTGTTGCTCGGCCTTTTATTACTTAACAAATTAGCTCAAATTAATCAGACACGAAAGTAACGCCACATGCAGCAGCACTTAGGGTCAAGACAAATGTTGACTGCGACGCAGTGTGAGGGCCAAATTGGAACAGAATTGAAGCCCAAATGCACCTGGGCGGCCATGAATACCGAAAATGTATTCAAAGCATTTACGAGGTTGACATTAAGCGGCACTCGAATGATCCAATGCTAGAGAGACGTAGATGCGTAAGTGCAGCATTTTCTCAAGCAATTTGCAAGCTTTCAATCAAGCGAGAGCCTCCAACTAACTGAGAGACGCGATCTCGAGCTGGCTCTAATCGATCAAAAGAAAGGAAAGAGCTGAAGAAAATAAAACCCGTATGGCAGGCGCATGTTGTGGCAGCCGCGTTCGATTCCATCATTCATGCGATCAACATTATCTGCCGTCAGGCATCAAGCGATGCACCACTCCGCTCGCCAAAGCTAACCCGAGAGATCTTTGTCCAGTGTAGTACCCCTCTCTCTTTCCCCTCCCCTCTGACCAGCCAGTGTCGCCCTGTCTCGTTCTCAAAAGCGTAATTAACGTTCGCATATTTTGCTGTCGGATTATCGCCCGTACCGCGTTCATCAGCGACAAAAGCTTCCTGTTTAAATTGAACGAATAATTGCGCGACTAACTGTAAAAACATGCTGCAGCCCAGGCTGGCTGCTCTCCACAGACAGAGAGATAGAGAGAGAGAGGTGAGGGAGAGGGAGAATCTCTGCTGCTACCCAATTAACTAATAATAAATTCCAGCAATTAATAAACGCTTGACAAACGCTGCTTTACGAGGGTGGTCCTCGGAAAATGCGTGGAGATTTTCCCAGTCAAAGGGGCCATAAAAAGGAAATATACAGAGATACGCATACTTTGCCCAGTCAGTGTCAATTCTCGAGTGGCCTGGGCAGTTGTTTGTAAAATGATACGAGCACTTTTCTTTAACAAACTCTCTCTATCGCTCTCTCTCTCGCTGTTTATCTGCCTCTCACTCTGCGCTCCCATTGATGGGCACTCGGTAATTTCTCAAACGCTAATCCTTCGGGTCGCCGCTTATCGCCCGCGCCCCTAGACGCTAATTTGATGAGTCATCTGTGCCGACTTGGTCGTCGTCCAGTTGCGATAGTCATCTGCGTATCGCTGAAGGGCTATAAGCGAACCCCAAGCCCCCGCCCGCTCCAGAACCAGGTGAGCTCTCGCTTCTTTTACCTGTTTCGTCTATTGTCGTAAATTTAAGGCTTGTCATTGAATGGGAGTGCTGTGAGCATCATCTAGGGACGACGATATGTTTGTATTGAGTTTTCGTAGAAAATGTCACTAAAAAAAAGGAATGTCAACACACAAACACACACGCACTCACGCTAGAAAAGTAGAAAACTATGTGCACAGTTAGATGATAATCGGATCGCTGCCTTGAGCATATATTGGGTATCTCATTTCCAAATAAAAAGGCCGCAAATGAAAATGGTAACAATAGAAACTCTGTCAAGTTCTCTATGAATTCTTGCTGTTGTTGTTTGCCTTATTGTTGTTGCCGGCTGTTCAATAATTACGTTGATATCCGAGAGCCGCAGGCATTTAAAACTTATCGACTCCGAAAACAGAACTGAGCCGTATTTATGCGCTTCATTAATTTGCTTTCAATGCATACAAGGATAAGGTCTGAGAAGGTCTAAGCAATGCAGCTGCTCACATAAATCGAATCGATCCTTGCTTTTACTATATATATATACATACTATACTATATATAAATATGACAATATTTTTCTAATTTTTAATAAAGCACAAATCGTGTATAAACTTGAAGTTCTCTTGAAAAACGCATTAGTTTTGACAAATTTATGCAGATTGAATGGCTTAGGTAGAGTCTGGCCAAGCTAAGCAAACCCAAATAGACTTTATAAATAGCATAACATTATTTTATTATAGCATTTTTTAACAACTTTTATTAAGTGCTAGTCATAAAAATGAATATATTTTTGTATATTTCCAAGAACATAGAAAGCTCAACGTTTAATCCTGACTTTTAAAGACTTAAAGAACGCATATAATTTTTCTAAATTTGAACAAACGTTTCGTTTGTTGGCAAAAAGACGCTCTGAAAATCATGAATGGGAATCAAATGTGTCGGCTTTTAAGTTTTTGATTTGCCCAAAATACAAATATATATATATATATATGTATATATATATGAAATAAAAGGCAATTAATTGCGTCCGTGTTTGGCAGAGTTTTGGGCGCGCCGCAACGGCAAGTGGCCGGCTCGAGCTGACCTGGCCTGGCTGAAGCTGACTCATAGGCGCACAGTTCGCACAAGTCCATGTCCGAGTCGGAATCAATGGCCATTCGGTTGAGCTATCGCCCCCCCACATCCCGTTGCTATCATATAAAAACAAGCACAAAAAAAGGGACGCCGCCGATCGCAGGTTTGGCAAAGGAAGTGGCCCAAGAAGATTTGGTCGCCTACTCCGGAGCTGTCAGCTTATCAATTCGCTTTTAGCGCAACCTCTCACAGACAGAATCTGTGTCCTGTGTGTGTGTGTGTGTGTGTGTGTGTGTGAGTGCGAGAGTGTGCGTCTGTGTCTGTGTGTGTGCCTGGCTCATTATCGGAGCGCGCTCAATGGAATGCATTGGCAACATCTTCTCAGACGCATGCCGCATTTCTTCTCTCTCTCTCTCTCTCTCTCTGTCGAGTTGCGTGTTTCGACACAAGGCGGCGTCTCTGGCGCTCCGGCATTTGGCATCTCATGTTATCCTTTGTGCTCTTGTGTGCTCAATTTCGGCTACTTTTGGGACACAACAGCGACCTTATAGGTGTGCGTTCGTGTGTGTGTGTGTGTGTGTGTGTTTTCGTGTGTGTCGTATGTTCGTGTCGCATACTCGCCGTGTCCGTCTGCCGTCGCCTGCGATAAGGTTTTAAGTTATGACCTTTTAAAATGTCCAAATGCGACGATAACGCGTGATTACTACAAATGTATTCCGAGAGTGCAGGCGACCAGAGACCAGGACG